TTGTTGTACGACTGCCAAGAGAGCAAGCAGAGTGCTGCTTACGGGTGCCTGCAGGAGAGGCTGTGACTGATGCCTTGATGGGCAAGTTCAAGGGAGTGGTGGGCACTTTGGGCTATCTGCTACCCACGGCGGCTGGCTCCCTGTGCTTTTGGTGAGAGCAGCTGTCCTGAGGGCCAAATGGCGCAGTGGCTAGCTACAGCTGTGCCAATGTAGATGTCTAGAGCCAATTTAGGTGTGCTGGAGTATCCAAAGTACGCTCAGGTGGCTGGCAAATCTGACACGGGGGCTAGGAGAGACCTGCTCCCAGAGTGAAATTCCCTGGGGCATCTCAACTTGGCACTTAACTCTTGGGCAAATGAACCCAACTCAGAGTACCTAACGTGGGCTCAGGCTCTTTCGGACTTGCAGCTCACAGAGAAACTGAACCTGGGGACCTTATTTTGGTGGGTCAGAGCTGTGGAGCTTCCTGTGGTGGAAAAATTAAAGTGAGGACCTGGGCCTTGCAAAGTGAAAGGAGCCCTCCCGGAGAGGCTGTGTAAGGGGAAGGTACACACGCCTGCGCTCACACCAAGTTTTACCAGCTCATTATGTTATCCAGCAGGGGATTATTTTTTTTCAAAGCAGTGTAAAAGTAGATCGACTGATAAAAAAGAGCCTTTTTGTTGTGAGAGCTTGCTGAGTTTGGGAAACTGCTTTCAATGCTATTGGCAAACACTTTACAGTGTAAACAGGGCCTACGTCAGGCAGATAAATAAGTGCAGATGCGCTTTTCTGTAGGAGCCATTTGGTGATAGACAATATATTGAAAAAAAAATTCCCATCAAATTAATTGTGGCCAATTAGACATAACCCCTTCCCCTCATCCCTGAATCCCCTCCAATCGCGACTGCCTGAATGGGAAGAGCTCCTATCACCTGTTTCATTATGCAGATTGATATTCGAACATCTGAGAACAATGCTGCTTTCTGCACGGCACGGCTCCAGATTGCTAATGAAACCGCGCTGCCAGGCAAGTCACTTAAACCCGCTCTCGCTGCTGCTGCCGACAGCTCTGACGGCGAGGTGCGGGGGGGAGCGGGAGAGGGGCTCTCTGCTCTGGATGTGCTAATAGCCCCCAGCCTGTGTGTTTATCGCTCTCCAGAGCAGGAAGATTTCTGCTCTCTGACTCCGAGAGGTTACTTTCCTAAAAGCCATGGTCTGATTTGGACTTTAATGCTTCTTGATTTCAATTTGTGAAGACTTGAAGAGGCAGGCAGCCGCTGGGCTCTGAACACAGATGTCTCATGCTACCCCAGCCCTTCAGGCACGCTTGGTGTCTGCTTCCCACCCCCATCTCCAGCATCCGCTTCTCCGCGACTTTGGATGGGAAGCCAGCTCCATAAGGGAGCTCTTATCTCACCGATAAGAGTGTGTCACACCGCCTTGGGTACCAGGGGAGCATCTCATGACCGAGGCCCCGCGGTGAGCGAGCGGGAGGCTGCAGGCGGGGTACACCTGCGCCCGGGGCTCCTTGGGTGCAGGGCTGGACCGAGTCCCGCGGGTGCCCTCCCAGGCGGTCCCCTCTGGAGGCAGGGAGAGCTGGGCAGCAGGACAGGGCCCTGCTGCAGGGCAGTGCCGGGAGCGGCTCCGACAAGCGTGGACCCTGTACAGCCCTGTTTGCTGCTCCCCATGACTCTCTGCAGCTGGGTTTGCTCAGCAACTCGTGCTTATCTTCCCCTCCCCTGTTATCACCACGTGTTTTTTTTGCCAGAGCCTCACAGGGCTCCTCTTTGCAGATGCCTGGGGTAGAGTAGTGGTGACTTAGGGCTCTGGCAGGAGACACATTTACAGTAAATGATGGGAGAGTTCTCTCATTAGTCTAAATTCTGACCCTTTCTGTCAATATCTGTGGTTAATTCCTTTGTCGATACTTGCTGAGGCATTGAGATTACCTCTGCACAGGTTGCCTTCACGTAATGGCCGCTGCATTGTGCCCCAGCTCTTGTCTCGTGTCTCTCGAGCTCCTAGACCAGCCTGCCAAAGTGCCCCGCATCCCTGGGGCTGACACCTCTGATCCAGGCCCACACTCCCAGCCCTCGGGAGAAGCCGAACAAGTGGCTTTCCTTCCTGAACTCCTTGACAAGTGTCGATTAACTTTCCTCCTTATGGATCTTCTCCTGTTCCTCCACACATGTTCCTCCACTGTGTTCCCAGGAGAGGACACACTCCTTCCCCATATTCTCTGGGAAGGCTTGTATGTCTTCTTGCTCCTTCAGTGTGAGCTGTGTGGGGCAGAGGTGAGCTCAAAAAGATACAGGAGTTTTTGGCTCTGGAGAGCTCTTTGGAGATCCCTCCATCCCTGGTCTGAGCAGTGCCCACCTACTGCTGAGCAACAAACGTGGGGATTTTTCAGCTGCCATCTCTTACCAGAAAGCTGCACCTGTGTATCATGGTTACTTCTCAAATGTGGAGAAGTTAGCTGCTTATCTCTGGCTCCGTGGACTGTGGAGTCATCTGGGCATCGATTGCTTTCAGCTTTGCAAACACCAAACCAGGTAGCTGGGGAATGTGTGTTCCTCTGAGGCATTCAAGCTCAAGATCTCTGGTGGGGGTCCCATAAGGATCCTTCCAGACTGTTTCCTGTCTCCTCGTCCACCAGGCTGTGGTTGACGTGTGGGTGCATGTGGGTGTGTGGAGAAGAATTTGCATTGGCAGATCTGTTCTGACTGAGGAATGAGCAGGGGGTAAGGCATGATGAGTGAATGCACAGTATGTGGTTTTGCAGAAGCCATCAGACTGCCTTCCTTCTCCAGAAACATGCTTTTCCAGTTGACGAAAACAGTCATCTCCTTCAAGAGGAATGTTTTTATTTATTTATTGATTGCCCCAGAGGTTAAAAGTTAAATGTGGAGCCTTTCACCTCTGGCTACAAAGATGGGCCCTCGAACACAGGGAGGACAAAGGATAGTTCAGAGGTGGGATTGTTTCCCTTGCCTGACTTCATAGACACAGCGACGGAAGCGGACAAAACTAGAGATTGTATCCCTGGGAATGGAGGGTGGAGGTATAAAATGAGCATTTTATGGATGGGGTTTCTTTTGCTCTTGATACTCTTTGGGCCCCGAGAGGGGCTCTCCTAGCTGCTGCCCCTCCAAAGGGCGTGCTGAGGCTGAGGTCACACCAGTGTTGACCGCTTACCCCGCTGACTTGGCTCTGTTGGAGGGCTCTGTGGGGTGGGGCGTGCCCCATGGCCCCCCAAGGCTGGGTTCTGCAGCCTCTGGGGAAGCAAGTTGCCCACTTTGCAAACTCCTGTTGTAGCATCTCAGGGGAGAGATGGTGTTCCTTTGCACCTGGTATGGCGAGGCGCTTCTTGTGATGGGTCCCCTAAGCTGCTGCTCTAATCAGCTTGGTAAAAAGTAATTTTAGCACTCTGCAGTGATTTTTCTCCCATCAAAGTTTGCTTTCTTTACAGGTTTTGATAGCTATGAGTTTGTCTTCATCCCTCGGGGGTGTGACAAGGTTCTAAGAGCCACCTTACTGCCTGTTTTATGCTATGTGAAACCTCTTTTTTTTGGTGATGTGCCAACCTGTGTTTCAAAGAACAACCTTAATGCTTTCTGTTGGATTAAAGCAGTAGGACATGTGTTCTCTCTCACACGCTCATGTGTGCAGATACGAGCCAGCCCATCTCACCGTCCAGCCCGGAGAGATGATTCCATGCGCGGCCGGATGACTTGACTGGTACACAGAAGCAGGAGATGTGAACGGTGCATTTGCCTGCCCGCAGACCCAGCTCCTGGTTGGCCTTATTGCTGAGGCGTTGTGAATGAGATACGCTGCTTTAGTGGCTTTGGCCTCCTCAGCTGGATTGACCGAGTTCCAAACTGGCTTTGAGCAGAACTCAAGAACAAGGCTGTGTGTGTTTTAAGCTATAGCTGTGGACCGCAGCTACATTTCCACTCTAGAAGGTGACAGTACATGACTGCATATATTCATGTACCAGGTGAACTGTTGCTGTTAAATGGGTCTGGTCTGACCGTTAGCGTGTTCTTAGCGTGCTTCTCAGGATCATCCAAATATACAGTCACAGTTGGGAGCCTAGAATTAGCACCAGGCAAGCTACTGCTTGATATATCAAGAGAGGAGGGGGCTTCCCTCCAGCTAACCTACATTTGCGTCTTTTTCTTTACTGCTTATTCAGTTCCTGGCTTACAGTTCTGTGCTCCTTCCTGCCTGCTGGTTCTAGGGGTTTTAAGCAGTCTTGATAATTGACAGTGTAAATTTTACTGCTCATAAAACCCCAGAGAGCATTGATTATGACTTGAGTTAAGCAAGTGGCATATAAAATCTCACAGCCTTGCGGCTGTAGGGGAATGTTATGATAAATGTATTTCTTGGGAGCAGCAAAAGGTTTGGAGTATTCTGCCAGCTCTGTTCTGGGCATCAAATGTTACTGGTGACTTGCAGCCACTGATAGCATTTCATCTGGGACATTTGCCCAAAAGTTTGAAAGCTGATCGTTTGTTTGGTGAAGTGGGTGTGAGGTGTTCTGCGAGGCATCTCTCCCCATTAATTACTTTTCTACTTCAGTCAGAATTGGGAAGTGCCAAGGCATCCGCAGAGCTGAAAAAGATACCTCTTAGAAACTAAATGGCACTTTGTGGATAAAATGCACGTAGATTTTATTGAAAATCTTTCCTTGACGGTGTTTTAAAGCCACTGTTACCTTTTCCCTTTCCTTTTTCCTTTTATCTAACCTCCTTTTAATCTTTGATCACTGGCTATGTTATGCATTTAATGTAGAGTGGACAAGATGATCGGGTTGCTCAGATTGACTTCTTAGGCACTAACAGGAAATGTTTGTGTTTGAAAACAGGGAAATTTAGTGTCTTCTCAATAATGTTTTCTACATGGTAGTAAAATAAAATCAGAACTACCTTCTGAGGAGAGTGTGTTCTCCCATTCAGATGGCTGCTTCTTGTTGAAAGATTGTGAGAAATGTTCTTTTTCTGTCTCTCCAGTTCCAGAAACCCAATGACTTCTCGCCCCCTTTCCGCTTCGGGACGGTTCCCAATGGCAGCACAGAAAGGAACATCCGCAACAACTACCCTGAGATGCACAGCTACATGGTGAAGTTCAATCAGAGGGGGGTGGATGATGCGCTGTTTTCGCTGAAGACTGGGTGAGGCTTTCTTCTTCCATGCTTACTCACTGCAGAAACCTGATTTCTTTGCATGCTTGTCTGGAAAATTTTTGGTGGGGTTTGAAAAATGAGTCCCTATTGTCAATCCACATTTAAAAGTATAGCAAGACCGCACATGGCACAGGAGAATAATTCTTTGGTTCTCTTAGCCAGGTTTTTCTATTGACATCTGTATAGGGGTTTCTGGTTTTGCTGTGTTTATAAGACTGTTTTTTTAAAAAACCCTATCTTCTGCATCCTTGTGTTTGTTAGCCTTGTGTATATTAAGACCTTACTTCATCAAGATACTTCATGCTGATGTGTCCTGATGCGTACACAAGAGAAGCTCATAGACCTCTGTGGACAAATTATTTTTCAAAGCATTTGCATTGTCATCTGGAAATTCCTTTGTTTTCCCTCCTTCCGTGTCTAAAAGATTATGTTAATTAGGAAGCTGAAACAGTCCTTGTCAGACTGATCCCACCCCAATGTATCACTAGCTAACATAGTGTAATGGAAGGTGGGCTTGAAGCAAATAGTTTGGAAGTAGCCCTTCTCACTGCAATGTTTTAGTATTCAGTGCTGAACAAAATGTTGTTTGAATAATAAGGAAATGTATAAAATGGGAGCATTTATTTGGGTAATTTGGGAAACGTGGGGAAAATCATTAGCCAAAAGGATGTTTGAACAGCTCATCCTATTTTAATAGCAGTGAATCTGTAAAGGAGCTAACTTCAAAGGCCATTTGCAAGCCTTTGCCCTTTTTAATTAAAGACCTCCTCCCAGAGCTGACCGTTTTGGTTGTCAGAGCCCAGCCCCAGTGAAAAAAACCCATTCGTGCTTACACTCATGCTGCACTCTTAAGAGAAAGTTCATTCCAAAGCACGAATGAAGATGTTCAGCCAATTTAATTACTAGATTGACTGAATATTCCTAAACCTGTTTGCCAGGTTCAGAGGCACACGGCCCATTACAAATCATTGTACCATTGTTGGATGCCATCCTGGGAAGGTACATTTGCCAGGATAGTCATCATCCAGGAAATAAATATGCTCAGTCCTGGAAATATATGGATGAAATAGAGCTCATCGCTTGTGGTAGATGTCATCCTGGCTTCATAGCCACCCTTGGACAGACTTCCCCACAGATACGCCCTGGAACTGAGATAATCACCGTACTGGAAATATATGTGCAGGAGGTGGATTGAAAAGACAGCGTGGGTGTGAGAATGTGCAAGGTGGAAGATCTTTGGTCTTTTATCGGGAAGTGCTTGATTTCGGATCTAGTGGGAGGATTTACTCCTTGGCTCTTTGGTTATGTGGAAGGTGCAGCCCCCTGAACCTGGCCCCCACACCCGGGTGGGTTGGTTGCAGTGAGAGGAAGGCTCTGCTCAGCCTGTTGTGCTGTCTCCCAACCCAGCCCATAGTGGGGATTTCTCTGTCTTGAAACAGAATTTTTCTTGTGGTTCTCAGCTGAGCACTCTGTACCAAAGAGCCACTCAGCATGGTAAGCCATAAAGCTGCTCTCGTGGCCACTTGATACTGGGAAAGATCCAGTAGTGCTTTTCACAGTAAGCGAGGAGTTAAACATGATGTCCTGACTATACTTAATTTGAAAAAATTACATTTTGCTCGGTGAAGTCATGCCAGCAGTTTGAATGGGAGATAATCTTTTCCTTACTCCAGCCACTACTTTGCTATCTAATATTGATACATTTTATAAAGCATTTTACGTTCCTTTGAGATGAAAGGCAGTACGGAAATATAAGCTATTCTTAGGACTCTAGATCCCCTTGACTTCCTCTTCATTCATCTTTATCTTGCAGTATGTTTGTATTCCACATTTTCTTTCAGATCAGAAATGATGATTATCAAAGAGTCAGAAGGATACAGACAGTCCTCATTTATAATCTGGCTATATAACAGGTTCTAGGCTCAGATTTTAGTTAACTCTGATTAAGGCGAAGATGCAACCTATTGTAGCCTACCTGAAAGAGGTTCGTTTCTGCCTTATCACCCGAGAAGACCTTCGAACTCATACAGATTCTGTCTTGTCTGTACTGTACCCCTCTTGTTTCTTGCACCTGCGCAGGAAGTTGGATGCTTTCATTTATGATGCAGCAGTGCTAAACTACATGGCTGGCAGAGATGAAGGCTGCAAGCTGGTGACGATTGGGAGTGGGAAAGTGTTTGCCTCCACCGGCTATGGTATTGCCATCCAAAAGGACTCGGGCTGGAAGCGCCAGGTTGATCTTGCCATTCTGCAGCTTTTTGGAGATGGTAAGTGACGAGAAAAAGGGGAGTTGGCGTTTTCCTAAGAAATACCAAGTTTCACATGCAAGAAATAAAAGTTCCTGGCTCTGGTGCTTCAGATATGAGTTGAGAACAGGAAATTATTAGCGAGGGCTTGTTAGAGGCATGACACCAAAACTGAGGATGTCACTTGGTTTACGTTGTTGATGCAGGGTAGCAGTATCATCAAAAGCAATGTCAAAAGCACTAAAGATTTCATAGAAACAGCTCAGTGTGTGTTTGAAAAATACCTTGTGAGAAGAATGTCTTGTAAAAACAAGATTTCTGTTCTGAACTTTTCACTACCTTTGAGGTTTTGCCATGACCAAACCCACTAATTATACTGGACCTTCTGTAGTCATCCCATGCTTTATAGTTCTAGACAGGATCAAGCCATGCAGAGTTTACAAAATTTAAGGATAAATACTTCTGGATGAAAGTGTTAACTCAGATTTTCCAAAACCTCAAAAAAAACACCAAGGAAGGACTTGGGACTCAGTAGCACATTTTGGAGTGAGTTTTTAATCAGAACATTATAGTTACCTAGTTCATCTCATCCTTTACAGAGAAATTGCTATTATTAAAAAAAAATTATTCATGGCATAAGGAATTCCTTCTTAGACAGTATTTTCCTGGCTTTCCCTTTCTATTCCATATTACATCTTGCTGTGTCCTTCTTTTGAATAAATAAAATTCACAGGTTATATGATTTATAAATATTTCTTTTTTTCTGAAATCTGAAAATAACATGTGGTATAATAAATATGGAAAGAACATAGCTCTGGTATACTTCAGCAGAAAATTGGCCACCTGACAGATAGGGTGTTCGGTCTCCTAAACAGCCTAATATGTATTATTTCAGAAAAAGATGTAAGTTCTCCATAAAGCTTTAAAGACTCTGCTATGGCGCCACATAAATATACAGATTTTTTTCCCCCTGTCACTGGACTGGAGGTTGAAAATGGGAAAAACTAACTTTCCCAACAGCGTGCAAAGAATCGCCAACCTGCAAAATGAGTTTTTTTCTGAATGTCTGTGAGTGTGTATGTATGAGTGTTTATCTCTCTCTCTCACCTCATGAAAATACCATAATGGGAGCAAGTGGGGTATGAAATTAGACTACAGAACATTTGTTCCTAGCTGATACAAATCAGTAATATTTTTGATTGGTCAAAGGGCTTGGAAGTGTTGAATTTGGACAAAATAGAAGGGAAGAAAAACAGGTAAAGATGCATAAATATTTTTGGGAACATTGCACCTAATTTTAATGAGCTATGGATATGATGAAAACAAATTCAGAATCAGACATTTTGATTTAAAAAAAGCAACATTTTGAATTTTGAGCTGGAAACCTACGATGTTTTCATTTAGAAGTGACTCATTTTTGTCTACTGGTATCAGTCACTGATTTTTCCCTTCATTGACCTAATATGAAAGGGGAAGTTTGTGAGGCCAGGTCTTCAGTCAGCTGGTGGACAACTTTTTCAGGGTCTCACTGCAGACATTTGGCAAGTGTGATGGCTGTGTCCTGTGGTACAGCTTTTTGTGGCTCCTGTCTGACTGTGGAAAAATCCTCTTGCCTTCCCTGTGACAAATTGTGCCTGCCCCTATCAGAAGGGCAGCCAGGATATTTCATGGACCTAATAGATGTGGAAAAAGAGCATGGCCACTGGAAATGACCTTAGATTAGCTTCTTGCTTTCAGTCTGACCCATCTTGAGCTTGTTAGCCTTTGCAGGCCCATCATCTAACCTGTTTCCTTCCTTCTCTCTGTCTTTCTAGGGGAGATGGAGGAGCTGGAAGCGCTGTGGCTCACTGGCATTTGTCACAATGAGAAGAACGAGGTTATGAGCAGCCAGCTGGATATAGATAACATGGCCGGTGTCTTCTACATGCTGGGAGCGGCCATGGCCCTCAGCCTCATCACCTTCATCTGTGAGCATCTCTTCTACTGGCAATTCCGCCACTGCTTCATGGGCGTCTGCTCTGGCAAGCCCGGTGTGGTCTTCTCCATCAGCAGGGTGAGTGTCATCAAGAGGCTTTATTCAGACAGCCCGAGGTACTGGAGATGGGGAAATCCACCAAGACTGTCTGACACACAGGTGGCATAGAGTGGTGCTCTGCAGGAGAAAGGCTGACATCTTCTCACTGTTAATGTTGCGAGAGCTTGTGATGTTTTTCTGTGACATCTCTGGTCTCTGCTGGATTATGGTCATGGAAATGGAAATTTCACATGGGAATGAAAGTGCAGTATAAAAAGAAGTTAACTTCTTCCGAAGAGAGTTGTGAGGAGGCCAGATTTGGGGACAGTAAGTCAAGTAGTGGTGGATAACATAAATTCAGGAGTTTTTCATTGTCCTCTGTGTTGCAGCTGTTCAGCTGACCTTACGTTAACTCGTAGTGTGCTATCATGGACAGTCAGAAGTCCCTAACCAAGAGCGATGCCCTAAACCATGCAGAAATCCTTCCAGAGAGGATGACCACATGAGCTTAGCAATTGCTTTACGCAAATCTGCCTTAGGGTATAATATTTACATCTAAAGCAGATTCTAGTCACTTTTGAGTCATCTTTCTGCTATTAGACTAGCTGGCAGTGTCCCATTTGCAGCTTTTTTCCCTTCTTTCAAGCCACTGTTCCCTTCTCCTGGTCCATTCTGAAGTTAGGTCAAATCTCAGCATTTTTTATCTCAGTGTCGGATGTAACAGAATTAACTTTGATTGTGCAAGGAGTATATAATTGCTACATAACATATTGTTGAGGAGAAATGACAAAGCCTTTTGAATTCAGAGGCACAGCCTCTCTTCTATATTGTTAGTTTCTAACCTAGTTTAGTCTGGAGATGAGATGGGGGATTGTGTTTGGTGATCCTTAGTTAACTACGGATTCTTTCATTCCGGGGTTATCTGTTAGACCTGGGCCAGGTTGGTGAAGAACCTGAAAAGTGTTAATGATCTGCTAGCTGCTGGGAAGGGAAACCATGGTAACGTGATGTGATGGTGTCCATTTCACAACTGACATTAATCAGCAGGCGCCATTTGGCAGGCCAGGGAATAAATGAGCCCCTTTTCTTCTGCTCCTAGGAGTAGCCCTTGCAAACAGTCTGTTCTACGGGTGAAGTGAGCTAGTGGGGAATGTGGAGGAATCAGGTACTTCTGCTGTCTCATTTGAGATTGAATAGAGGACTTTCACTTTCAGGGATGTCAATTTGGAGCCTGTTATCACTGTTAAATTCAACAGAATGCAATTAAAAATTCTATTATACCTCACTCAAGCAGATGATGCAGAAGACCTAAATACCTATTCAGCAGTCCTGCTCTTTCTCTCTTTTTCTGTTTCCTTTTCTAATATGTACTGGTGATTAATGTAGCTAAGTTTATGACAAATGAAGCTGTTCCCTTTTTAAGATAGCTCCTGTCGCATTGATTCACTGATGTCCAGATGAATTTCAAGGGCCGAAACAGATTTTCTTCCTCTCATCCACACAGAATCATTTGTCTTGATGCTTTTGTTCCCAAGGATATTATTTTCCCCATTTGCAATTCCGTGTTACACCCACTGGATTTGAGTAACTCTTACAGATGCAAGCAGGTATTCCTGCGTCCTACAGATATGACACGAAGCAAAGCAAAGGAGGAGGAATGGAGGGGAAGGAAAGAATGTGAGGGGCAAGAAAGAGGGGCAGAACAGCAAGGGTTGGTAGAGCAGATCTGATTTCATTTGATTTGGTTGTGCTTCATGATGGAAGGCTGACAGGCCTTGCTGTCCTGCAGGAAGATGCTGTTGCCGCACAGGGTGCTTCCCAGTCCAGGTCCCCTTTCCTGTGTTCTTTGCAGGACCACTCACCTTCCTGCGTTCTCTCATTTCAGGGTATCTACAGCTGCATCCATGGCGTGGCCATCGAGGAACGCCAGTCAGCAATGAACTCCCCCACGGCAACTATGAACAACACCCATTCCAACATCCTCCGCTTGCTTCGGACAGCCAAGAACATGGCCAACCTGTCAGGGGTCAATGGCTCACCGCAGAGTGCCCTGGACTTTATCCGCCGCGAGTCGTCGGTCTACGATATCTCCGAGCACCGCCGCAGCTTCACCCACTCGGACTGCAAGTCCTACAACAACCCCCCCTGCGAGGAGAACCTCTTCAGTGACTATATTAGTGAGGTGGAAAGGACCTTTGGCAACCTCCAACTGAAGGACAGCAATGTGTATCAGGACCACTACCACCACCACCACCGCCCCCACAGCATTGGCAGCACCAGCTCCATCGACGGGCTCTACGACTGTGACAACCCACCCTTCAACGCCCAGTCACGGTCCATCGGGAAGAAGCCCTTGGACCTGGGGTTACCCCCTGCCAAGCACAGCCAGCTGGGCGACCTTTACGGCAAGTTCTCCTTCAAGAGTGACCGCTACGGGGGCAGCGGAGCCCACGATGACCTGATCCGCTCGGACGTCTCCGACATTTCCACTCACACTGTCACCTACGGCAACATCGAGGGCAACGCGGCCAAGCGGCGGAAGCAGCAGTACAAGGACAGCCTGAAGAAACGCCCGGCCTCTGCCAAGTCCCGGCGGGAGTTTGACGAGATAGAGCTGGCCTACCGCCGGCGCCCGCCCCGCTCGCCCGACCACAAGCGCTACTTCAGGGACAAGGAAGGGCTACGGGACTTCTACCTGGACCAGTTTCGGGCCAAGGAGAACTCGCCGCACTGGGAACACGTGGACCTGACGGATATCTACAAAGAGCGGGGAGATGAACTGAAGCGCGACACGGGAGGAGGTGGGGGTGGATCCTGCACCAACAGGGCCCACCACAAGCACGGCTCGGGCGAGTTTGGCGGAGGCAATGAGCACAAGCATGGCGTTGTGAGCGGGGTCCCAGCGCCATGGGAGAAGAACCTGACCAACCTAGACTGGGAGGACCGGCCCGGGGCTAATTTCTGCCGCAGTTGCCCTTCTAAGTTGCACAACTACACGCCATCGGTGGTGGGGCAGAACTCCACCCGTCAGGCCTGCATCCGCTGCGAGGCCTGCAAGAAAGCGGGCAACCTGTACGACATCAGTGAGGACAACTCGCTCCAAGAGCTGGACCAGCCACCTGCCCCTGTGCCCGTGGCCACCAGCGCCACTTCCTCCTCCAAATATCCTCAGAGCCCTTCCAATTCTGCCTCCAAGGTGCAGAAGAAGAACCGTAACAAGCTCCGCCGGCAGCACTCCTATGACACCTTTGTGGACCTGCAGAAGGATGACTTGGCCCTGGCCCCCCGCAGCGTCAGCCTCAAGGACAAGGGCCGCTTTTTGGAGGGGAGCCCCTACGCCCACATGTTTGAGATGCCAGCCAGTGAGACCACCTTTGCCAACAACAAGTCCTCAGTGCCCGCCACCAGCTACCACTTTTTTTGCGGGGGCTACATGCTCAGCAAGTCGCTCTACCCCGACCGGGTCACCCAAAACCCTTTCATCCCCACTTTTGGGGATGACCAATGCTTGCTCCACGGCAGCAAATCTTATTTCTTCAGGCAGCCTGTGGTGGCAGGGGGGCCCCAAACCAAGCCCGACCTCCCGAGCCATCGTCACCACCAACAAGCCGGTGGTCTCAGCCCTTCACGGGGCTGTGCCAGCCCGTTTCCAGAAGGACATCTGTATAGGGAACCAGTCCAACCCCTGTGTGCCTAACAACAAAAACCCCAGGGCTTTCAATGGCTCCAGCAACGGGCATGTTTATGAGAAACTCTCCAGTATTGAGTCTGACGTTTGAGTGAGAGGGGAAGAGCGCGGGGA